ATCTTAACTTATCAAAAATAATAAAAACAACAACCTAACCAAGCCCCCATAAGCTCAGCAGGTACAAACAACACACAAGACCACCTACTCAGGCCCCCATAATCCCGGAAGGTGCCAATCAATCTATATACCCCTATCGGTAGTCCCCTAGCCCCGTAGGCAGTCACATGGCCCTCTTAGGCATTAATATAGCCCCGTAGGCAGCACATAGCTCTTTTAGGCATCAACATAGCATATAGACAACTCATGGCCCTCTTAGGAAACAACATGACCCTGTAGGAAGCACATACCCTTCTTAGGCGTCAATATAGCCCTGTAGGGAACTCATAGCCCTGGTAGGCATCAATATTGCCCCGTAGGAAAAACATAGACCTTCTAGGCATAGATCACATTCCTAAAGCTAACCACAATAACCCCAAGGGAAACAATAACAATCCAATTGCTAAAAGCGAGCAATTTAGTTATAAGCAACCTATACAAATAGCCTCTAAGTCGTGTCCAACATAGGGACGCTACTAACTGAATAAGAATCCTGACAAGGGAGGATTATATTAACTCGAGCAGCCAACAATCAACAATAATGGCTACAAGCATAACAAGAATAACAACGCAATTACATTGCTCCTAAGTTTTAAGGAAATATGTGTAAGTAGGGAATAGCCTTAACATACCTTTTTCGCTGAATTCACGTGGCCTAACGACTTTACTCACAACCGCCCTTGATGCTACAACAAGGCAGGACCATAATCAACAAAAAAGAATAGAGGATACCACGATAATCCGATAAAAGATATGTATTTCCGTCACAAATGGCTATTTGCGACTTATCAAAGCTAGAGTCGATGGAAGAAGGGTCTTACCTAGATTTTAAGTTCGTAATACACCTCAAAACTTTAAAATACGACCAAAACCCTGCTGTCCACACACCATAGTATGATATGCTAGGAAATCGATAAAACAAATTATACCATGTTAACGAGCTCAACGCGTAGAACAACTTTTGTCAAGGACTTAAGTAACGAAAATTTGTAACTTAGTTGATCCTAGAAGTGGGTTTTGTGAGTTTTCTGGTTATTCACTAAGAAAAATGAATAAAAGTCGAAGAAGATGATATATATATATATATAGTTCCACCGACCTAAGGGACCGACCTCACCTACCTGTTTGCGCTGTCTTACGAAAATGTGAATATCTCTCCATTCTGAAGTCGTATGAATGAACGGGTTGATGCGTTGGAAACTAGACTCATAGACCTTCGATTTAATAGGTCGTAGGCACCATAACTCATTATATATTGGGAGAAATCTCTGAGACATTTCACCCAAATTTCAAACAAATATTTAAAAAGGAATATACGGTAACTTTCGCCAACTTTTATTTTGCCACTTACCTAACTTCAAAACTTGAGATACAACCCTTGAAGACTTAAAATATCACATAACACATCATTCTTAATTTATTACCCACCCTTCTGGTCTTTCCACTATGATACGAGTCAATTTATACGTTTCGAAAAGTCGGGGTGTTACAGTTGCCATCCCCTTAGACTTGTTCACATGACTTTTTCGATAATTTCTATTTCTATAACTAATTAGATCACATTTGTACTTCATACTTGAATTTGAACACGTACCACTCCCTGTGGGTTCGACCCCAACTCATTGTTGGGTTTTATACTAGATAACGATCGTTCGCACCTAGAATTGGATGAGGTGTGCTTGAAACGTTAATCAAAAGGGCGCCACTGCCGGGGAGTGGTATTATGATTTAACGTTTCAAGCACACCTCATCCAATTCTAGGTGTAAACGATCGTTAAGCTGTTCAGTTATGAAGTACAAATGTGATCTAAATAGTTAAAGGAATAGAAATTATCTAAAAATACAAGTAAACAAGTCAAATGGGTGACAAAAAATGTCAAATGGGGGGTTTTGGTTTGCAATTATCAACTACAATGCAGTCAAACAACGATAAAATAACAATATGGAGAGGAATTCTCAGGATGTGATCGATTATAAGCAAATTTCACATTATGGGTAATTGTAACTACTAATACATAGCTAAATATCAGTGGGTAGGCTAGACTATGAGTGAAATAGCTTTCTATCGAACAACTATCCCTCTTCAAGCGATATCTTTCGAACATCAACAAGCATAGCAATTAAGAACACCCCACAACTTAATTCATCCACTCTCTCAAGGTAGATATGTAGGATTGGGTTTAGGATTCACTCTCTCGAGTTGAACCCATATCAACCAAATACCTATAAACCATTAATCACAGCCTTAGTCCCAAAACTTCTCTCTCGAGAAAGCTAAGAACACAAAATTAGAACTGCATTTGCAACTACAATTCATAAATTAAACTTCAGAAAGTAATCAAACCCACTTCAATATAGCATTTATTATAGTAATTAAATATACTCATAAGCTAATTCAACCCATAATCACATGATCACACCCCAAGAATTGGGGTTTTAGCCAAACATTATAAAAAGATGAAAACAATTACCAAATCGTATCCATCAACTGGGTAAGAGTATTCACGCCTTTACAATGCTCCAATTTAAAGAAAATTAGTAACTCACTTGCAAAATCTCTGAATTGAGTCTTAGAAAGCCTTCAAGTCTGCTACAGAACTATCAACTTCAAAAGAAAACTATTCTAAATGGTAGCAAGCCCTTAAATTAACAGTTCAAAATCTAATTTATAGTCGCCAAAAATTAGCCATGAAGAGCCTTTTGGCGAGGTAAGTCGGGTTCGCTGAGTGGTTCGACGAACCACCCTTTGCACTCTTCTATCGCCTTTTTGCATTAACTCTCAGCATCCTCAAGTCCTGTAACTTTGGGCGATTGTTCTTGTCATCGCGGAACTGATCCGCGATTCACCGACTGCCTCTTTCTTGTTGCTGACTTAGTTTCTTCCCTCAGGGATGGCACACTAGAACTTTAGGTTGACTGAAGAGCCACTCGACGAGTCGCTGAGTGGTCTTGGCGTTCACTAGACTCACCTTTCTCCACTTTTTCAGCTTGTTTTGTTTCTTTTTGCCTGTTAGTGTCCTTGCTTTGCTCCTTAATCCACATACCTAAAAATCAAGGCTTTAACATCGGTCTATAGCATAAATTAGGCATTTGAGGACTCTAAAACTGTAAAAACAAAGCCCTAAATGTGTCCAAATCTCGGACTCATCATGTTGTTTAAAATTCTATTATTAAAATTAAATTGTGATCTTTTTGTGTTATAGTTGAATAAACTTACCTTTTTGTTATAAGCTGTGGTGATTAGGTGACAGGATGAGTGTGAATGAAAGCACCGTGAACCAACATTGTCATCAAGATGATGATGGCGATTTCTTGCATGCCAATGAAGCTTTATTTGGAGGTGTGGGTGCCATCCGCCTACCTCCGATTGAGGACCATGCTTCATTCCATGTGATAAATACAATGATGCAACTCTTGCAAGAGAAAGGCATATTTGGAGGGTTAGATCATGAGAACCCCCCATGGGCATATTCGGAATTTTGTGGAGACATGCAGTCCGTTCTCACTCAAGGATATTTCGTTAGAATCAATTCAGCTATGGTTGTTCCCTTTCGCTTTAATAGGGAAGCAACCAAATGGCTAGCAGAGTTATCGAGAGACTCTACTCTATCATGGGAGGAACTCACCGAGGCATTCTATATGAGGTTCCTCCCACCCTCAAAGATGGTAAAATTGTGTGACAACGTCCAAAGCTTCAAGCGGATAGAGGGGGAACCAATTCATGAAACTTGGCAAAGGTTTCGGAAGTTACTATTATAATGTCCTACTCATGGGCTGTCGGGTGATGTGATACTTCAGTATTTTTACAGGAGTTTGGACTCAGTGAATAAGAGAGTGGCTGACCAATTGGTTCGAGGAGGAATAATGTTGTAATCATTTGAGGTAGCCTCGTCCCTTCTTGATGAAATGACAAAGATAAATCAGGCGTGGTACACTCAAGAGGACCGAGTTTCACATTTTTGTTTTAGTATTACACAACAACAACAACATGACAAGGAGAAAGAGAGGGATGTGTATTAGCAAAATGTTGCCCCAAATGGATCTGCTACGAAAACAAGTGCTAGAAAATGTGGGCGAACCCAAAGAAGCAAGGGGAGTGTTTAGAGCTAAGGAGGGTTCTCACTCGTGCTACTTAAAGACGAGGAGGAATCAAGGTGGGAACTCTCATAAGGTTGAGGAGGGTTTCCACCCAAGCTACTTAAAGCAGGGTGGGAATCAAGGTTGTAACACTCACAAGGAAGAAGAGTGGAGGCGATACAATCAGGAATGGGCTGAACAAAATGACCATTGGAGAAGAAAAGATAATCATGAAGAGAACCACACATAATCGAGTAACAGTCCAAAATCAAAAGGTAGTTCGAGTAGCCTACGAGTGGATGATTTGTTGTCTCGCATCCTAGACATGGTTGAAGGCTCGAATGACATGCTAAAAGAGATGGAAGCTAACTTCTCATCACTGAATAATAGAGTGAATTTTCACGTTGATGCAATCAAGCAACTTGAGGGTCAATTAAGTCAACTTTCAGCACAATTGGAACCCAAGGTATTTGATAGGGGTGAAACTGAATGCACAACAACTTTGAGGGTTGATAATGACAAAAATTTAGCGGTGGTGACTCGAAGTGGAAAGATAGTGGTTGGTAAGGTGAATGGTAATGATGGGGTGAGAGCTTATGGAGAAGAGAAAGACATTGATGAGGAAGAGGAGCTCATTCAAGCACCGAAAAATGATATACTTAAAGAGAAGGAGGAAAGTCACAAACAAAGCCTCGATGAAGAGTTGAAAAAAGCTAAAGGAAAGGCCACTTCAATTCCAAAGATAGTACAACCTCTTCCCAAAATATATCCTCAATTTCCTCAACGTCTCAAGAAGAAAAATTAGGATAAGAAATTCAAGCAGTTTTTTATCAGTATTCAAAACACTCTCTATAAACCTAGCGTTAGTGGAAGCATTGTTGGAGATGTCGGGTTATTCCAAATTCATGAAGGAGCTAGTCACCAAGAAGAGAACCATGGACTTCGAGACAATTAAAGTCTCTCATAATTGTAGTGCCATTATGACTAGCGAGATGATTACAAAGAAAGAAGATCCAGGGGCATTCACCATACCATGTACCATTGGTATACTTAAATTTGTTAAAGCTCTATGTGACTTGGGGGCAAGTATAAATCTAATGCCCTATGCAATCTATAAACAACTTGGGCTTGGTGAACCAAAATCCACAACAATGAGGCTTGTTATGGTGGATCGGTCGATCAAGTACCCTGGTGGGATACTCTATGATATATTGGTGAAGGTTGATCGATTCATCTTTCTGGATGATTTTGTTATTCTTGACTGTGAGATCGATGCTGAAATTCCCATTGTTTTGGGATGACCATTTTTAGCAACCAGGAAAGTGCTAGTGGATGTTGAAAGCGCGGAATTGATGTTCCGGGTGAACAAAGATGAGGTCACCTTTAATGTGTGCAAGTCAATGAAACACCCGAGTGACATTCATGTGGTTACGACGATTGATGTAATTATTGAGGCGGTGGCTACTGTGAGCCATATAATGTGCATGAGTGAACCTCTTGAGGTTGTTCTTGCAAATTATGATAAGACCAAAGTTCAAGGTTATGATGAAGTGGTAGTTGCTCTGTCAGGATTAGGTGAATACTCAAAGAACCCATTGAAGCTAGATATTGATCTAAAGTATCGAGAAAATCCTTCCACCAAACCATCCACGGAGGAGCCACCAAAGCTTGAGTTGAAAGTGCTCCCCGCTCATCTTCGATATGCATTCTTGGGGACAAAAAACACCTTACCCGCAATCATTGCAGCTAACTTTCTTGAGTGGCAAGTAAGATTTCTCCTTAAGGTGTTGAAAATGTACATAAGCTATAGGGTGGACTATCGCTGACATTATGGGCATTCCACCTGGCATTTTCATTCACAAGATCCAACTTGATAGTGAGTGCAAGCCGAGTGTCGAACATCAAAGGAGATTGAACCCACCGATGCAAGAGGTGGTAAAAAAAGAGATAATAAAGTGGTTGGATGCATGTGTAATTTACCCTATTGCGGATAGCAAATGGGTGAGTCTGATGCAATGTGTACCAAAAAAGGGCTGCATCACGGTAGTTGCTAATGAAAATGGGGAACTTCTTTCTATGAGACCTATAACCGGATGGAGAGTATGAATGGACTACCGAAAGTTAAATTCTTGGACCAAAAAAGATCACTTTCCCATGCCTTTCATGGGTCAAATGCTCGATCGACTTTCGAAGCGGGGATGGTATTGTTCCTTAGATGGTTATTCCGACTATAATCAAATCTCTATTGCACCGGAAGATCAAGAGAAAATCACTTTCACTTGTCCCTATGGAACTTTCGCTTTCGAAAGGATGCCTTTCGGGTTGTGTAATGACCCAGCAACGTTGCATGTTATCTATTTTCGCTGATATTGTAGAAGATTCAATGGAAGTATTTATGGATGACTTCTCGGGCGATACTTTTGAAGAATGCTTAGCGCATCTTAAACAAGCCCTTCAAAGATGTGTGGAAATCAATTTGGTCCTAAATCGGGAGAAATGTCACTTCATAGTTAGGGATTGTAAAGTTTTGGGTCACAAAGTGTCACAAAAAGGGATGGAGGTTGGCAAGACAAAGATTGAGGTAATTGAGAAGCTACCACCATCTCTCTCGATAAAAAGTATTTGTAGTTTTTTAGGGCATGCCGGTTTCTACCGGAGGTTGATCAAAGACTTTTCAAAAATTGCACACCCATTATGCAAGCTTTTGGAGAAGGAGGTGAAATTTAGCTTTGATGATGCTTGTAAGGCAACCTTTAAGTGCTTGAAAAAGAAGTTGATCTCCACCCCGGTAATTATTAGCCTTGATTGGTCGGCACCTTTTGAAGTAATGAGTGATTCAAGTGGTACGACATTAGGTATTGTGTTAGGGCAAAAGCGCAACAAGTTATTCCATCAAATTTACTACGCAAGCAAAACTTTGAATGGTGCTCAACGTAACTACACTGTTATTGAGCAAGAATTACTTGCGGTGGTATATGCATTTGAAAATTTTTGGGCATACTTGCTAGGCACCAAAGTGGTGGTGCACACTGATCATGCATCTCTATGTTACTTAATTGAAAACAAAGATGCCAAACCAAGGTTGATAAGATGGGTGATGTTGTTGCAAGAATTCGACTTTGAAGTCAAGGATAGAAGATGTTGTGAAAATCAGGTGGCTGATCATCTATCTATGTTGGAGAGCAAAGAGAAAGAAGAGTAGGAGTTAGACATCAATGACTCTTTTCCCGATGAACAGGTATTCATCGTCACTCTAAAGCAAACTTCTCGGTATGCTGATTTTTCTAACCATGTAGTGTGTGGACTATTGCCGGAGGACCTAAACTTCTATCAACAAAACCGGTTCTTGTTCGATGTCAAGAGATACTTTTGGGATGAGCCATATTTATTCAGAGAATGTGCAGACCATATTATTATGCGATGTGTGCCTGAAGAGGAAGTCAATGACATTCTCAATAATTGTCATGCTTCACCGGTTGGTGGTCATCATAGTGGTGTGAGAACTGCCGCAAAAGTACTTCAAAGTAGTTCTACAAAGATGCCCATGGATTTGTCAAGAGATGCATAAAAGCCAAAAGAAAGACGGGGTGTCCAAACAACATGAATTGCCTCTTAATCCTATTCTAGAAGTTGAATTGTTCGATGTCTGGGGAATAGACTTCATGGGCCCATTTGTGAGTTCGTTTGGAAATAAGTATATTTTGGTGGCCGTGGACTATGTTTCTAAATGAGTGGAATCTGTTGCATTACCAAACAACGAAGGGAAGAATGTAGTTCAATTCTTGAAGCGCTACATCTTTACAAGATTCGGCACCCCACATGCTATTATGAGTGATAGAGTCTCACATTTTTGCAACCAACTTTTTGCATCCTTATGAGTAAATACGGAGTAAAACATAAAGTGGAAATGCCGTAGCATCCTCAAACAAGTGGTCAGGTTGAAGTCTCGAATCGGGAAATTAAGAGTATCTTGGCAAAAACCATGAATGCACATAGGACAAATTGGTCCCGAAAACTCGATGATGCCCTATGGGCGTATCACACTTCTTACAAAACGCCTATTGGTATGTCTCCATATTAGCAGGTTTTTGGGAAATCTTATCACCTGCCAATTGAACTTGAACACAAGGAACTATGGGCATTAAAGGCATTAAATCAGAATTGGGTGAATGCTTCGAAAGGGAGATTAGATCAGCTGAATGAGATGGAAGAATTCCAATTACGGGCTTATGAAATCTCAGCTCTCTATAAGGAGAAAATGAAGAAATAGCATGACTCTAAGATCCTTAGGAGAGAATTTTGAGTTAGAGACTTTGTGTTGCTTTACAATTCTCGACTGAGACTCTTTCCGGGCAAGCTCAAGTCGAAATGGTCTGGCCCATTTAAAGTGACACGAGTGTTCACGAATGGGATTATTGAAGTTGAAGGTAAGGAGGGTCCAGCCTTCAAGGTGAATGGGTAGCGTTTGAAGCTTTACTTTGGAGAGTGTCATGAGATTTCAGTTATTGAAATGGTATATTTGGAAGATGCTTGAGAGCATTTCCACGTCCTTCCATGACGTTAAATAAGGCGCTTCTTGGGAGGCAACCCAAGTTTTAAATAATGGATGTTGATTATGCATGTTGAAAAGTGATAATGTTGGAAAGTGGCAATTAGGCTAGCCAATAGTCCAGTCGGCGACTCGCAGAAGAGGTCGGCGAGCCCGACTTGGACCACCGTTGGAACCACCTAGCTTGATGGGTTAAGTTATGTAAAACTCGGTGAGCTAAAAGCTCAGTCGGTGACACGCCGAATAGGTCGGCAAGCCCGACTTTGTCTGCCGTTTGAACCCCTTCCAAATTGCTAGGAGTCACTACTAAAAACTGCTAAAAAACGACGGACGGCGTCGCTCCAAAAGGCGATGCCATTTTCCACTGTCCGTCGCTTTTTTCAAAAAACTAATTATTTTTAAAATTATCTTACATAATGCGACGGACGGCATCTCTTAGTCTGTCGCTATTTTTTGTGGATTTTTACGTCAAATATATATATGTATAATTAATTAATAATTATTTATTTAATATAATAAGCGACGCTGTTCATCGTTCTTATTAAAAATAATTATATATAAATTAAAAAATAACCATGTTATCCGTCGCTTTTAATTTATTTTATTTTATTAATTATTTTTTTTAAAAAAGTGACAAACGGCATCTTTAAGTCCGTCGTTTTTTGGTCAAAATATATGGTCAATTATTTTTGAAAAGCGACAGGCGATGTCTTTTAGTCCGTCGCTTTTTGGTCAAAATGTTGATCAACTATTTTTTAAAAAGCGACGAACATAGAGACGTTGTCCGTCGCTTTTTATTAAATATCTGAAAGGCAAACGGGAATTTTCCCCCATTTACCCATTTTCAAAAAACCTCATTCTCTCTTCCTTCTCTCCACTCCGGCGCCCACCGTCCGTCATCCCGCCATCCGCCGCCAATGTTCACGAGCAGTAGTTGTTGGAGGAGCCGTTGTCGCCGCCTCCTTCCCCTCTCTCTTCATTCTCTCCTTCTCCTTTAAGGTTAGGGTTTTATTTATCAAATGAAATTTCAATTTGAGCTATATTTGATTTTGTTAGTTATTTAATTGTAATTAGTTTATGTATTTTGTGTATATTGATTGTTAGTTTGAATTAGGGATTATTAGTTAGTGAGTGCATTGAAATTTTTAATGTTAGGGTTAGTTTGAATTAGGGTATCTTAGGATTTGTTTGAATTTGGGTATTTCTTGAGTTAATTAGTTTGATTTTGGGATTGTAGGATTAGTTTGAATTAGGGTATTTAAGGAGTTGTTTGAATTTGGGTATTATTTGAGTTAGTTTGATTTTCGGAATTATGGACTAACTAGAGTTTGAATTATATTTGAGATTTTAGGACTAATAGTTTGAATTTGGGATTAGGACTAGCTAGCTAGTTTGCATTTGGGATTTTAGCACTAGTTTGATTTTGGTATTTTAGGACTAGTTTGAATTTGTGATTTTAAGACTAGTTTGAATTTGGAATTTATGACTAGTTTGAATTATATTTGAGATTTTAGGACTAATAGTTTGAATTTGGGATTTTAGCACTAGTTTGATTTCGGGATTTTAGGACTAGTTTGAATTTGTGATTTTAAGACTAGTTTGAATTTGGAATTTAGGACTAGTTTGAATTATATTTGAGATTTTAGGACTAATAGTTTGAATTTGGGATTTTAGCACTAGTTTGATTTTTGGATTCTAGGAGTACTTTGAATTTGTGATTTTCATTTGGAATTTAGGACTAGTTTGAATTATATTTGAGATTTTAGAACTAATAGTTTGAATTTGGGATTTTAGGGATTTGAATTACAACTTAACTAGAATTTATAATTAATTATAACTTGAATTTACTATAACTTGAACTTAATTAGGAATATGAACTTGAAATCTTGTTGACCTTAATTAATTAGAACTTAATTTTTAACTTTATTAGAACTTGGATTTTATTTGAACTTAATTAGAATTTTGAAGTACTTGAAATCTTATTGACCTTAATTAATTTAAAGTTAAATTAATTAGAACTTTATTAAACTTAATTAATTTATAATAACTTGAAAAATTAATTAGGAATATAAACTTAATTTTGAACTTAACTAGAACTTGAACTTAATTTGAACTTAATTAATTATTATTCATTAATTAATTAAGCTTTAACTTTGTAGATCTTGAAATGTAGTATTTATATTAACATGATAAATTAGTTTAATGTAGTAAAATTATTATTAAATTTATTAATATAATTGAGTATCTATATATTTGTAGATGGATCATCGTTTGTGG